AATAATATATTCTTCTGGGTGTTGTTCAGCAACATCCCAGCAACAATCCTGATCGATACCAGTCTACAGAAAATAATAGAATTAATAAGAATTTATTTTAACGCCTTTTTATGCTAATTTCGATTGCCTGATATGTTCGGGTGAGAGTGCTACTACTTTAATGTTACAATAAAATATTTTGTCCTTCTGAGTGTTGTTCAGCAACAACCCAGCAACAATCTTGGTAGATACCAGTCCACAGAAAATAATAGAAATGATTAGAATTTAATTTAAACGTCTTTTTATGCTCATTTCCTTTGTCTGATAGCGTTCGGGTGAGGGTGCTACTTCTTTAAAGTTACAATAAAATATTCTAACCTTCTGAGTGTTGTTCAGCAACAACCCAGCAACAATCTTGGTAGATTCCAGTCCACAGAAAATAATAGAAATGATAAGAATTTAATTTAAACGTCTTTTTATGCTAATTTCGATTGTCTGATATGTTCGGGTGAGGGTGCTACTACTTTAAAGTTAGAATAAAATAATATATTCTTCTGGGTGTTGTTCAGCAACATCCCAGCAACAATCCTGATCGATACCAGTCTACAGAAAATAATAGAATTAATAAGAATTAATTTTAACGCCTTTTTATGCTCATTTCGTTTGTCTGATAGCGTTCGGGTGAGGGTGCTACTTCTTTAAAGTTACAATAAAATATTCTAACCTTCTGAGTGTTGTTCAGCAACAACCCAGCAACAATCTTGGTAGATACCAGCCCACAGAAAATAATAGAAATGATAAGAATTTAATTTAAACGTCTTTTTATGCTAATTTCGATTGTCTGATATGTTCGGGTGAGGGTGCTACTACTTTAAAGTTAGAATAAAATAATATATTCTTCTGGGTGTTGTTCAGCAACATCCCAGCAACAATCCTGATCGATACCAGTCTACAGAAAATAATAGAATTAATAAGAATTTATTTTAACGCCTTTTTATGCTCATTTCGTTTGTCTGATAGCGTTCGGGTGAGGGTGCTACTATTCTTTAAAGTTACAATAAAATATTCTATCCTTCTGAGTGTTGTTCAGCAACAACCCAGCAACAATTTTGGTAGATACCAGTCCACAGAAAATAATAGAAATGATAAAAATTTAATTTAAACTTCTTTTTATGCTAATTTCGATTGTCTGATATGTTCGGGTGAGGGTACTACTACTTTAATGTTACAATAAAATATTTTGTCCTTCTGAATGTTGTTCAGCAACATCCGAGCAACAATTTTGGTTGATACCAGTCCATAGAAAATAATAGAATTGATAAGAATTAAATTTAAACGCCTTTTTATGCTAATTTCAATTGTCTGATATGTTCGGGTGAGGGTCCTACTACTTTAAAGTTAGAATAAAATATTCTATCCCTTTGGATGTTGTTCACAATAATAATATTCTACATTAAAATGAAATATATAATTTTGCTTTGAAAAGAAAAATGGTGAGAGGATCTAAAAGATAATGTTTCTTCTCTAAATTTGAGTTTACGTTTTCCGAAGTGTAAAGACATAATAATTAAATCATTTAAAAACTATAAAATGTAAATTCTGTACCTGATTGTGTTATAGTTACATACCATAGTTAGAAATTTGATGATGAGGCACGATTGTAATCCTTCCAAATTCGAGAAACACAACACATTCACTGAATTTATTTTATTTGCATATTTTTAAACGCGCACTGACTCTATAATAAATAATAAATTATTTGTTGCAAAAATTTTTAATTGCAATATGTCCACAGCACTGATTAATTAGAAAGAACTTTACACTTTTAACTAACTTTTCAAACAATAAACTTAAAATGCATATAAAGCTAAACGATTTAAAAACGCGCACAGACTCTAAACTTTATCAAAATTGGCCCTGAAAGTACAAAACAAATAATTTTTTAGTAATATAATAATATATAATAAGTAAATATATAAAAAAAATATAATAAATTATTCTAAACTAACTTGAATATTTTAACGAAAAAATAAATAAAAAATAATTTCTTATAAATATACAATTAATCTGTTTATTAAAATAAAAGAAACTAATTAACTTATATATGTATAAGTATTAAATATTAAATTAAATAAATGCTTACAATTTCAATGGATTCCCTCCAGCAAACACGACACAAACCCCAGTTAAAAGACAATAATCTTCAAGTCATTTGAACTCAGAGATCCCTTCTATAATAATTAATCGAAATATAAGAATTTCGAAAACAACAATTTGTTGTAAGAAGACCGAATTCTCATAACTCAAATTTCTCGTTTACTGGGATTTGGATTTACGCCACGAAATAATGATCACCGATGGAGGAGTCTGAAAATTAAAAAATATAATTATCAGTTTTAGAAGAAATGATAAAAATCTAAAAAGCAAAAAATTATTAAAAATAATTACTATGTAAAGAAAATATCAGAATTTAATATTCAAATTAGGTAACAATTAGCAAAAATAAATAATTCTGAGTTAATAGAAAACATAATTCACAAATAAATAATCATGCTTTGAAAAAATATTTTGGAAAAGAAAAATAATGCTTATATATAAAGCTTATTTTCAAAGAAATTGATTTGTTCATAAATAATAAATCAGTTTTAATTGTTCAAAAATTACTCTGAAAACTGCGTTTTAAATTATTATTATTTTACTTTTTTTTATTTTAATTAATAATTCCAATTAATTTTTAATTAATATTCAATTCATCAAATAAGTACTTTTTTAAAAATCTATTTAAATACAATTGTAAATTAACAATTTTTTTTTTCATTTCTAACAGACAAAAAAAATATTTTTGAGTATTTTATTATTGTAATTATTTTATTAAAGTGCAAAAACAGCTTAATAGCAATTTATTAATTAGAACTAAATTTTTTTTATTATTCTAACCTAAAAATGTATGTAATAAAAATTAATATCAAACTCTTTGAATTTTACGAATTTTACCAAAAATAATTTTTTAAATTTGAGGTTATGTTGATTATTGCAATTTTTTGTTTATATTACGTTAGATAGAAAAAGAAAGTGAAGAAAATTCTATTTAAATAAAAATACAGAATAATGTTTACCAATTGATATTAAAAACTACAAGTTAAAACAATTATTATACAAAATAAACAAAACTTACAATTCCATGAAGTTGACAAACGCCGCGTGTGGTTTGACTTTTTTGTTTCTAGAATTTGTTGTTATGGAGCAAAGTAGTAACTACTGAAGGACGAATCTGAAAAATAAATAATACAGTATTAAGTTATTGTATGATTATTTTTTCTTTTGAGAAAATAGGAAGAGAAACAAAGAATAAGTAAATGTATATTGAATATTTCTTCAAGACGATTACAATTGTCGCGTAAATTTTGTTATTACCTATCTGATGACAATATTTATCGCGCACAAGACGTTTTTTTCCTCGTGCCAAAGACGGAGTTAAAAGTATTTCAAGAAATTCACTGACTTTTTGTAAAATTATATAAAAAAACAAATGTTAACAGAGCAATGTCGACAAACAATTGACAACGGGAAAAAAATATCATTAAGCACAAAACTCTCATTGGCTGATGGAAAAAAAGCGCCAAACAGAAAATGTTTCTCCGTGCCATCTATCGACAGTTTCTAGAACTATGAATCGACTTCTCTACATTATCGACTTTAAAAGACGCCCTCTACCTTATCATCTTAGCGCGAAAATTCAAATTTATAAATTTAAAATATAAAACTAATTTATAATTCATAAATATAAAATTAATTTTAACGTTTAACAAATAATTTCTTTACTTTTTAATTATTATTTTAGTTATTTTTTTCTATTTTAACTATTAATTGCAATTATTTCTGTACTAATATTCAATTACATTCAATTATTTGTTTATTTCGAATACACAAATATTTTTGAACACATTAATAGTTTTATTTTATTAAAGAATGTAAAAATCAGCATGAAAACAATCTGTAAATTAATATTCCGAATTTTGTTATCATTCTAACCTAAAAATGTGTTAATAAAAATCATGAAAATTACTCGAAGCTTTTAATAAATTACCAAAGACAATTTTGAAAATTTGAGGTTATGTTGATTACTGAAATTATTTATCTTTTTTTTTTTATTAATTTCTATTAATAAAAACAAAGATAAGGTTTTTTTAATTTTAATCAGAAAATGAAAATCAAGAAATTTATAACTATTTGAATATGAACCGAATAATTTTTACCAACTGATATCGAAAACTAAGTTGAAAATATGATATATGATACAAAATATACAAACTTACCAAGTCCAAGTACTCATGCAGTGTTGTCAAATGCCTTGTGTCCATAGACTTTTTACTATAGAATTTGAGATTTTGCAGCAAAGTAGTGACTACCGATGGAATAATCTGAAAAATCAATAATAAAATTATAGTTAGACAAAAACCATTGTATGATTATTGTTTCTTTTGAAAAATTAGGAAGAGGAACAAAAAATGTGCGAACGCTGTGAATATTTCTTCAACACGATCACGATTGTCATACATTTTTTTCATTACCTTTCTGTGGATTATTTTCTCTCCAAACAAAATGTCTTTCTATTGCAGCAACAGTCGTAATGAAAAATATGTCAAGAAATTCACTGTTTTTTTTTGTAAAAACGGTAAAAACTATATTAAAAAGAAACGTTAACGAGGAAAGTCAAACTTTTAACAATGAGAGCGTCATTAAGAGCACGATGTTCTCATTGGCTGATTAACCCAGCGGAAATGTTCCGCCATGACAACTATCGTACGTTTTGAGAACTGAAACAACAACTCTGCTTTACCGACATACGATCAAAGTTTCACGCGCGAAAATTTAAATTACACTGTTTCAAACTTAATCTCTCCGATAAATTAAAACAAAATAAATATTAATCTTTTATTTTAGTAATCATTACTAGTTTATTTTAAATATTAATTAATCAATTAACCAAAAATAATAATTAAAACATTTCGATATTTAATCGAATATCGAGAATTCAAAATGGCCGTAGTGTTGTGAGAAATTGTTTTGACAGTAATTATAAAAGTAAAACGGAGTTATCAAAATGGTAAATAATTAATTTAAATGTTTATATTAAATGTAAATTATTGTTTATTGTTATTGTAATTGTTAATGAAAATTCTATTCTTTCAGTTACCTCTTTCATTGTTGAGAACAGCTCAAAATCATCCAATGGTGAGTAGACATAACCTCTTAAAAAATGCGGCATAAATATGTTTAAAACGTTTTTCTAATATATAAAAATTAATATTGCTCTTTTATTTTTTTTTAAGCTTGTGGAATTAAAAAACGGCGAAACATATAATGGACACTTGGTCAGTTGTGATAATTGGATGAATATTAATCTTAGAGAAGTCATTTGCACTTCAAGGGTAAGAAATTTATTTAATAATTTATAATAGGTGCTTAATTGTTGAAAAAAATTAATAAGAAATAAATTCTATTTATTTAAATTTGACTTGAAACTTTATATTTAAATAATTTGAAGAATTATTACTTAATAATTGTTACTCAAAAGACAAGCAGTAAAAAATAACACGAGTCAACGAAACGCTTATAATAATAAATACATTTTTACACAAATTGCTATTTAATTATTTACATAATATTAATATTTTTTCGCAAGGATGGTGACAAATTTTGGAGAATGCCAGAATGTTATATTCGGGGTAGTACAATAAAATATCTTCGAATTCCCGACGAAGTTATTGACATGGTTAAGGAAGATATACAAATGAAAAATCGAGGACGCGGAGACATGAAAGGTCGAGGTTCTAATCAAAGAACAGGAAATCGAGGCACTGGTAGAGGTAAACAAAATTTATTATTTAGAAATATTTTTCTATCGTATTTGAGGTTTTATTTATAAATAACAAGCCAAATAAAAGTAAAATGTAATCTATATTAATAATAGTTGTATTCCGATAATATGTTTGCAGTTTGAAATAAGTTGTTTGCTTTTTTGTTTCCTAACTTTATAAAATAATTCTCTTTTTAAATGTTTGAAATTTTTTAATTAATGTACTGAAAATCATTTAATTCTTGTTAAGTATTTATAAAAAAATTTTAAAATAATTGAATTCATTTCAAGAATTTTATCAACATTTTTTTCCATAATTGAATTCTTTCATAAGAAAATATAATTAAAATTGTATTGAAAATAATTTAATTCTATGCAAGATTTTTATTAAAATTCTTTAAAATAATTGAATTGTTTTTAAGAATTTATTTCAATATTCTTGAAAATAGTGTTCTTTTTAATAATTTTCATTGAAAATTTAAAAAAATTCAATTATTTTTATATAAATTTATTTAAAATTCTTTAAAATAATGAACTTTTTTTTAATAATTGAAAAAATTAAAAATAATTGAATTTTGTGAAGAATTTCTTTCAAGTTTTTAAAATAGTCGTGTTTATTATTTATTCTAATTAACAATTTTCCTATTAAATTATATTAAAATTATTCATACAGAATTAAATACTTTTAAACAATTTTATCATAGTTTTTGTAAATAATTACATTTTTTTAAAAGAATAAAATTTCATTAAATATCGTAAAAATATTGTCATTTTTAAATAATTTCCATTCAAAATTTGGAAAATAATTGAAATTTACAAAGAATTTTATAAAAAACTTTTGAGAACAATTGAATATTGTTTAGAAAAATTTTATTACAATTTGTAAAAATAATTGGACCTGTTAGAGAAATTTTATTAAAATTATCATGAATATAATTAAATTTTTTCCTTGAAATTGTATTAAAATTTAATTGAAAATAGTTGAATTTCTCAGAAGAATTTTATTATTTACAAAAATAATTCAATTCTTGCCAAGAATTTTACAAATTGTAAAAATAATTGAATTGTTTCAAAGAATTTTTTAATTTATAAAAATAATTGAATTATTTGGAAGAATTTTATCTGAATTTTTGAAAATAATTGATTTTTTTTAATGAATTTTATTAAAAATTTTGAAAATAATGTTTTTTTTAAAAGAATTGTATCAAAATTGTTTTAAATTAATTTAATTTATATTAAAATTCCTGAAAATACAACATTTTTTAGTTTACAAAATAATAAATGGAATAATAATTGCTAGTATTAAATAAAGAAGAAAAATACATAATCAAAACTAGATTTCTATTTTCAACATTATCTTTTATTTTTGCAGGTACTTTTGGAGGACGAGGCCGACCTCCACCTTTGGGACGAGGAACAATTTTACAAACAAATAAACATAATAAAAATAAATAATTAGAATTTAGTACTTTGTTTCTCGACTTACAACTATCACGTTAAGGACATTAAGTATTAATTTTCCATCTCATTATGTATATTTTTCTAAGCAGTGTTAATTCTGCTTAAAAGATTTATGTGAAATTTGAACATTGTTTATAATTATAAAAGTTGATTTGTATTGAAAAATTACAAATCGTTTATGAAATTAAATAAAATTGTAAATTAATTCTACTTTTATTTTATTCATTTCAATTATTAATTCAATTTAATTCACCTAATATTTAATTAATATTTCGTTTATTATAAATTTTTATTCAGTTTTTTACTTTTTTTCTGTTTTTAATTTACTTTATTATTTTTAATTTAATTTAAATTTACTTATTTTTTACTTCGAATTGTTAAATATAAAGAATTGTTTTATTTACACTTATTAATAATAATTGTTAATAATTAATAATTATTAATAATCGTTATTTTCATTTTTTTTTGTAGAAATTTTTACTTTTTTTTATAAAAAATACTTTAATTTTTTTTATCAAGCACAGTAGTAGTAATCCAAAACAGCTCCTTCTCGACAAAATCCTGAGCAACATTTTCTACTTCCACTTGGTTGGCACAATTCATTTTTTGCTAGACAGGCAATTGAAACGGAAGTCATCATCAAAATTGTCATTAAAAATATTAACAACAAATGGTAGAATTTTTTACTGCACATTTTTTTTATCCTGAAAAATACAAAGAAACTTTACTTTTTAATTTTCCTTGAAATTAGTAAATGGATTTTTTTAAATGAAAATTACAATAAAAGAAATGATTTGTCTTTACTTTTACATTTTTTTCACATCGAAAGTAAAAATACTTGTTTTATTATTAATAAAAAGATACTTACCTACTTCTTGAATATTTCGAATAATATTACGAAAACTCTATCAGTGAAAATCAGAGTTTATAATGAGTGTAATTCTTGAAAATGAAAAAAATTTATATATTTCGTTAACAGGGATAAAAATGAATCGTGAGGATAAATTCATTTTCCGGATAAAGATTTATTTAATTCAACAAATATTGTCATTGTTTTATTAATTTATTACGTTCGTTACACTAGATGTGAGATAAAAACAAGGAAAATTATTCAGAAAAGTAAATTTTCCAAGTAAGAAATTTAAAAAAAAGGAGATTAAATATATTTTTTTAAACATTTTATATAAAATAAATATTCGTTCTGAAAAAACTTTTTTTTCTTCAACAAATTCAAAATTTGTCAAAGAAAAATTTTAATTTAAAAAAAAATTTTTAATTAAATAAAAAAATTAATAATATGGGAATTAATATAAATTTTTAATTTTTAATTTATAAAAAAAAATTTTAAAAACTATTTTTCAATTACAAAGAAACGATTTATTTACTAAACATATAATTTATCAAAATACAAGTAGACATGAAAAATACTTTCATATTCATCTTCTTGGTCCATATTAATTCAGTACATATACAAATTACAAAAAAATATTCTTTTGTCATTTATAAATTCATTCAAAATGGAAACATAAACAAAAAAAAAAAGATAAAAAATTTTCTTTTGCTATATTACCACAAATATTATTAACGTTGCACTTGCACCTGTATAGGTAAAATAATTACAAATCTTGTATTATATCCAAAAAACGGAAATATTAATAAAAGTCCTCTTCTGCCGGTTTCGATGACGCTGACTGATTTTTAATTTGTTCTTGATTGCTATACATATCTGCGACTTGTTGCGCGGTTGTCGCGTCCTCTGCATTTTTATCGTCACGAATACGACAAAATCGTGGGAAACGTAAAGAAATACCTTTCTCTGGATCCGCCTGTTTTTTCGAGTAAAAAAGAAAATTAGTTTTCCTTTTTTCTTTTAAAAAACAAAACTTTGAAATATATTTAAATTTAAATATAAATTTGAATTTCTATATTTTATGAAATATTTTTAATTTTCTTTTCTATGTAAAATTTATTTCTTACAATTCCCATGGCTTTTTCTTTTAAAAAACAAAACTTTGAAATATATTTAAATTTAAATTTAAATATAAATTTGAAATTGTATATTTTATAAAATATTTCTATTTTTTTTTTTTTTATGTAAAATTTATTTCTTACAATTCCCATGGCTGCATGATGCACCGGCGACAGGGACAAATCAGCGCATTTTATTTCCCAAACTTGCACCGCTTCGAACCAATGATCCGGCTCGTGGCTACCATCAAAACGATAATAAGATTTTGGCTCCGAAATTAAATGTTCCTTGAGGAATTCGCTATGTTTTTGAAGATCTTCTTCACTGAAACCGGTTCCAATCTGTAATTCATCAAAAATGATATAATATAAATTGTGAATAAACTATAAACGATATAAATTTACTAAAATGATAAGTAATGTAAATTAAAATAAATTAAACAATCTGAATTAAAATAAATTTTCTGTAACAATGTAAATTAAAATAAATTATAAAGAATATGAATTAAAATTAATAATAAACAATATGAACTAAAATAAATTACTGACAGTATAATTTAAAATAATTATAAATTATAAATTAAGAAAAATTAATAAAATTAATATATAGAATAAAAGATTGCGAAAAATAGAAATAATTACGATTTTTTTTAAATAGAAAATTGAATCTCGTATTTAAAAAAAAAACAGATTCATAGATCAAATTTTGAAACTTACTTTGCAAATACTTTGATATTCTTCGTTTTCTTGATCGTAACACGCTAGAAGAAAACCACCGTAAGTTCCCGTTCGTTTTCCTTTTCCAATATAACCACCAATTACGACAACGTCCAAAGTGTCGCCCACTCCGTCCAAATAATCCTTCTTTAATTTCAACCAATTTCTCGATCTCTTCGCAATTTCATAAGTCGCGTCCTTTTCCAAAGTTTTCACCATCAAACCTTCGCAATTACCTACATAAAAAAAGAATTATTATATTATACACTTTATTTTCTTAAATAAAAAAATAAGTACTAATAAGGAAAATATTATAAAGTAATTAATAAATAATGATAAATTAGTATAAAATAATATTAATAATAAATAAATAAATAGTAATAACAAAAAATAATTACAGAGTTGCAACAAAAGTTTGATTTTATTTTTTTGATTTCCAAACAGAATTTTGACTTTTTCCTTGACTTCAAGAATATTTTAATTCACTCTAAAAATAATTGAATAACAAAAAAATGTTTGTAATACATTTATTTTTCAATACGTTTAATTCTAAAATTATTTGAAAAGTTAACAGCTTTTCATTAAATAAATATTTAATTATTATTATTTTTCCACAGGAATTAAGATTTTGAAAAATTTCAAATCCTTTGAAATTCAATTATTTATAAGAATTGCTAAAATGTAACTTATTCAAAATTATTTTCAAGATTATTCAAGATTATTCAATTATTTTCTAGAATTTTTAACTAAAATTCTTGTATAATTCAATTATTTTTAAACAATTTTTGAAAAAGTTTCTTAAGAATTCAATTATTTATTTAAAGAAAGAAGTTCGAATGTAAAATATTTCTGAAATTCACTTATAAACAATTAAAATTCATAAAAATTTTTCAATTTTTCAATTAAATATATTCAAAAATACAACTAATTTCAAAAAAAATTTGAATAAAAATATTTCAAAAAAATAACTTCTTCAGAAAAAAAACATTATTGCAAAAAAAAATTTAGAAATTAATTTCATTTCCACAATTTTCCGTTAATACCTATGTGAAATATTTTTCTATTTTAAAACATAACGATTTTGAGGATTTTTTACATTAATTTTTTATAATTTTTGTAACTTTTTATAATTTTGAATCTGAAATAATTTAAAATTTGCATAGAATTTTGTTCAAATTTTTGAAAATAATTTAATTGGTTTGAAGTATTCTACGGAAATTTTGTGAAAATAATTAAATTCTTACGAGGAATTCAATTAAAATTGTAAAAAAAAAATGATTGTATTCTTATAAACAAATTTTAAAATAATAAAATTCTTGCGAGAAATAATATTAAAATTATATTGAAAATAATATTATTCCTGCATAGAATTTCATTATGCAATGTATGAAAATAATTCAATTCTTACAAATTTTTTTCACGAATTTAATTAAAATTCTATTAAAAAATAATGCAATTCTTATACAGAATTTTATTAAAATTTGTTAAAAATATACTTTTTGAGAAATTTTATTAAAAATAATAGAATTGTTTTGAAGAATTTTATTCAAGTTGGATTTTTTAAATTTTGAATCTGAAATTATTTAAAAATTGAAGTTGTTATTTGAAAATTAAAAATTTTGCAATTTACATAATAATAATAAATTAAATACTGTTTCCTTCATTGGCGAGTGTAATATTTCCTAATTATTTATATTATTTATAGAAATTGAAAGCGCAACTTTGAAAAAATTCATTTTTTTTTTAATTTTTCAAATAAAATTATTCACAAAAATAATTTATAAATTATAAATAATCATTTTTTCATAGTTTTTCTAGAATTAAATTATTTAAAATAAATTTAATTTCTAATTTATAAAGTTAAATTATTATTCTTAGAAATAGAAAGAATTTAAAATTAAATTAATTAATAAGTTCTAGAAATAGAATATTTTCAAAGTATACTTTTGAAAAAATTCTCTGACAAATTTTACTTTTCTGGACTATTCTCTAACTTCCCTGACTTGTGGCAACCCTGAATTAATAATTATTTCATTATTTTAAATATAGAAAATAATTAAATTTACCTTTCACTGATTCTTCAAGAAAATCTTGAACCTCTTCCATAGTTGTCGTGTCGAGGCTTGTCGCGAATTTCCATTCGCCTTCAACTTCCTTGAAATTTTCCAAAAGTAATTCTCGACGTTTATGGAAAGGCTCTTTAACAAGAGGTTTATCGTTAAAGTACAATAAGTCGAACATAAAAACGCAAACTTGAACTTTAATTTCAGCTTCGTTTGCATCCTGCAAGAAAGTAGATATAAATAAATAAATATAATATAATAAATATTAATTATAAATAAAATATTAAATTCGACGAATTTTAATTGTTCTCGAATTGCACAGGAAAATATTTTTCCTAACCTTTCGTTTTCTAGTGCTAAGAATTTGGAATGGCAAAATTTGTTTCTTTTCACGATCCCAAGCGACTGCTTCACAATCGAGAATACAACTTTTAACATCCTCGCCACGCGTATTAGGAAATCTTCCAATAATATCTGGATATTTACTCGTATTATTTTCTTGATTTCTACTGTAAATTCTCACTTCTCCTTTTTCATTCACATGAATCTGAAAAGAAATATATTTTTTAAAAGTTAATCTTATTTTTCTATAATCCATTAGTTTCTATAATAAACAAAATTTGAATTTATATCTCGTAAAATTTTTAATTTCAATCTTATAACTAAATTAAAATAAAAAAATAAAATAGTTCAATTAAAATAAAATTAAATTAAGCAAAATTAATTTGTTAGTAAATAAAAAGAAATACATTTAGAAGAAATAAGAAATACAAATACATTTTTAACAATTAACATTCTTTTTCTATAATTATAAAAAGAATTCTACTACATATATTTCTTGTAAAATGGAAATATCATTTTTATAATTTAATTAAAATATTAAAAATTTTAATTGAATTTAACAAAATTAATTTGTTCGTAAATTAAAAAGAAGGAAAACTCACTTGAGCTCTTTCGCCGTCATATTTCCATTCGCAGGTGAATTTCAATCCGTCAAAACGAGTTAAAACTTCTTGAACACCTTTCGTTGGATGTGCCAACATTGGTTTGAGTGGAATGCCCGGCGTTAATTTGCATTGTTCTGGAAGAGCTTTAACACCGTCTTTCAAAATCACTGGAATTATCATATCATAATTGGGACATTCACTAAAAAAAGAAAAGAATATTAATTCCGATTATATTTACTTTCTTTATAAAGTATAGAAATTGTAATTTTCTTTTATTTTCCCAATCTTTACGAATTTTTCCAGGAAATATTTTATTTATAATTTCACAATAGAAAATAAATATTATTTCATTCTACTTACCAATAAGTTGTTTTAATGATAAGTGCAATTTCATCGTATTTCTGTTTAAAAGAGTCACTCGATATTTTTTTACTTGCATTTAAAACTTCAGGTGGATAACTTTGATCCGGTGGTGTCATAGCGCACGCTAATGCTAATGCCTATTTAAAATAAACGAAAACAAATTTAAAAATTCTCGAAAATACTCAAAGAAATTTTACCAAATCGAGCAAAAATTCAAGAGCAAATAATTGTCAAAAGGAAAAGTTTTAAAAAAAATTCTGGATTACTCACTTGTAATACGGATTGTTCAGCGAGACCGATTCTTAATTTTCCGGCGAGAGATCTTACGAGATATCTTGCTTCTGTAAAGCGGCAGGCAACGAATAGTGCTTGGATTTTATCCATTTTCTTAGTTGTAGACTGGAAAAGAAAAAAAAAATTCTTCTTTTAGCAACGACGAATCGAAAGGTAATTAAAGAGAAATTGATTTACAAATAGACAAATTTGAAAAGGTAAAATAAAATGAAAAAAAAGGATATTTTTCTCTGAGGAAGAAAGTTTGCAAAAATTGATATTTCACATACAGATGTTCCAGTCATTAGAGCAATTTCTTTGAGTTTTGTGTAAACATTGGGAACGGATAGTGGCGCCGGTTGAAACATTGTTCGTTGATTTGAACGACTTCCCTCAGCAACAATTCCCAAATCGCCAACTTTCTGCATCTTCGCTTTTATTTGAGCCAATGTTTGTCCAGTGCATTGTGCAATTGCCTTCATTAAATTTGTATCAGCTATTCCCAATTCAAGTCCTTTTTAAAAAGAAAACGAGAAAAAAAATTAATAATTTCAATTTTAAAACAATTTTACTCAACTTTTATAAAATTTATAAAATTAACTGCAAAAATGTTAAATAATTTGAGAATTTACCTTCATAAGCAGGTGCAACTTGATTTAAACAAAGATAAACGCTGGCAATGAGATCATTCGGACTTAGAACAATTACAGAACGAAAATAATTTGAGAGTATTTCAACAATTTTTAAACGTCCACTTGTTTCTTCAATGAGTTCTAAAGTTCGTGTTAAAGCAATATAAGGCACCCTGAAAGTCAAAGGAATAAGAATTAATTAAAAATTAATTATTCTGGAAAAATTAAGTTAAATAACAGAGATAATTAAATATTGGAAAATTTAAATAAGGTATTTATTTACTTTTCCTCGTGTCGCCAGCAAGCATCGAGAATTGGATGATAGGAAGATTTACTGGGATTATAATCGTGAGTGGAAGTCTCTTTTTTCTCACTTCCCGTTTCTTCTTCATTTTCTTCGTCTTTATCATTTTTCTCCTCTTCCTTTTTACCTTTCTTTCCTTTTCCTTTCTTATTTTTTTCATTTTTACCCTTTTTCTTCGATTTTGTCTCGGGACTCTTTTTTGATCTTGGAGCTAGTAAAAAATTATTAAATTAATTAAAAAATAACAATTTTAAATTAACATTTATTGCATTGCAGGCCTTGGAAAATACAATAAAAAAATTAAAATTACACTACAATATTTTTAAAAAACTGATTCTTAAAATGGTTTATTATTAAAATAATAAAAAATTAAAAAAAAATTCTAATGTAATTTTTCGAAAATAATTGAATTTTTTAAAATTTGTGTATAATTTAAAAATATCTAATTAATTTTTTAAAGACATTTAATTAAAAAGTTTAAAAATAGTTGAAAGAATTCGAAAAAGCCATACTTTCGAGACCTGCATTAATTAATATTTATATTATTATAAATTATTCTACGATCGCTGGGAAAAAATGGGACTCACCAAAGAAACTGTGAATTGTTTTTGGCTTTTCCTCGGATTCTGATTTATCTGCCGAGCTTGATTCATCAAGTTCGTCCTTCTTTGAATCATTCAATGATCTGTCAATTTCAACAAATGAATCTTCTTTATTTTCCTCAGTTTCAGAAATCTCTTCCTTATTCTCCTCAGTTTCAGAAGTTTCTTCTTTCTCCTCTTTTCCACTGGATTTATCATCGTCGATAACATTTTTCATTTCATCATCATTATCTGATTTTTCCGAAATTTTCTCTTCGTCCGTTTTCAATTCTTTATCTACAGTTGTTTCAGATTTTTCCTCTTCCATTTTCTCGTCTTCATCAACTTTCAATGATTCCTTTTTCTCCTTCACTGGACTTTCTGGCAACTTTTAAAATAAATAAACAAAATTAGTTCAATTTCACGTCGAAGAAAAATATCTTTTTTGTCAAATTTCTGTATTTTATAAGCACTATTCGCTTTGCTATTTGATTTTATTGAGAAAATCAAAATAAATTTGCTATTTGCTTAATATTTAAATAATTAGTTGAATTTTAACATTAAGTTTGTAAAGTTTTTAATTTTATGAAGCAAAAATAATTTTATGTTGATTAAAATGAAGTGTAAATAAAATTTAATGTTTATTTTTATTTGTTTTCGTTTTATCATTAATTTTTTATTAATTTACTTTAGAAAATTATTTCTACTTACTGGCAGATGACCTTCATCGTCACTCGAATCAGAGGCAATAATAATTCTTTTCATTTTTTTACCACTTTTCTCCTTTTTCTCCTTCCCATTAATGGCGAGCATAATTTTTGGTGTTTTTTTATGCTCAGATTTTCCATTTTCAGGACTTTTGAGTGACGATTCATTTTCCTTCTCCGGCTCTTTTTTCAATTTCTTTTCCTTCTTAGTCTCTGACTTTGGTGTCTTCTTTCTCTTCTCGGCTTCTTTCGCAATATTCGAAGCCAAAGACTTTTCCTTTTTGCCTTAAATTATTTCAATAAATATTTTTCTTTAATAAAATATCAAAACACTTTTTTTAAGTGATTTTTTTAAAAACTAATTCAACTGTTTCTATTTTTATTATTTGAATACTATATATTAAAACATTATTTGAAATTAATCGTTTGTTTCATTTTTACCTGATTTTTTATTTCGACCAGCACTCGGAGACGGTGAAGATTTTGACTTTTTCTCTGTTAAACTGCCATCCAATTTTTTCGCAGGTGGAGAACTTGAAAGAAAAATATTTAAACTCTCTTAATTTTTATTCAACTTTTTTTTGTTTATTATGCAATAAAATACGAAAATAATAATAAAAAAAACAAAATAATAAAATTAACAAAAGAAAAAGGAGCAAAAGCAAAAGTGTGTACATTTCGAGGTTATGTCACAACTAAAATGAAAGTAAAAATTAAAAAAAACTCACTCTGCCGAAGGATTATCGCTCAAAGTATCATCATCACGTTTTCTTTTTCCATTTGGAGTTTCGATATCATTTTTCTTCTTCGCAGAACTGTTATTAATATGCAGGTAATTAAAAATGTTGTTTATAACAGGAGATGAATACACTGGTAATAAATTAATTTTGCGCTCAGAGTGCAATAAATATGATCTCAAGCTTAAATATTTTACAGATAATTTAAACATATTTAATTAGAATTTAATTTTATTAATGAAAAAAACGTGTTTTTAAGGTAAAACATACCTTGTTTCTGGAGATTTTGATGTTTCGTTTGTATCTTTCTTGGGCGTACACTTGGCGAAAAATGAGCTAAGAAAGGGAAATATAAACAACAATAAAATCAATTCTAGGTAATCTATTGTTCAATTCATTGTCACAATAATATAACAAGTGTTTATCTTTTATTTTCAATATGTAAAATCTAATTATTACAACTGATAAATACTCACGTTATTGTTCGCTGCGCCATTTTCGCGCGATTTCTAACCTCAAAATAATTGTCGCGCATTAATTTTTTCCCACCAAATAACATAGTTAGTCAAAACAAAAACAATTTAATTAAAAAAATAATAATTTGTTTCGATTTTACTGCGTATGGCGTCATAAAATTTACAATTTAAAAATTAAATAAAACAATAAATAAATTTTGTCAAAAATAAATTAAATAAATTAATATTTGACTCGAGTGAAAAGGCGGGAAATTTTTGAAATGCAGAAAATAAAGAAGTTTAAAAGATAATTTTGTTTATTATTATTTATTTCGTAAATTTCAAAAATCCAAACACATCTAGTTTTATTTACTACAATAATTGTTCGCAATAGTGTTTACAATTAATAAAATATCCCTTTTTTTATTTTAATTTTTCTATAATGACGGTTTTTAAATTTTTTTTTTTCGTTAAAAAAGCTTCTTCAGTATTTTTTTTTTTTTGGTTTTTTTTTACAAATTTAAATGCATTATCACACAATTGTTTCAAGTATAATAATTTTATCAGTGCCCAAAAAAAGAAAAGAAAGAAGGAAAAAAAAATACGAAGAAGATGTGGGTATACACTCAGAGAAAAAAAACACGAAAACTCGGGGAAAATACAATTTTTTTTTCAACATAACACAACAAAGAATTTTCTTTTTTACGGATTTAATATTAAAATGATAAGTGTGTTCGGCATTTTTTTTTTTATTCTTTCTCACTCTCTTTTTCTCCCCTTCAAGCAAGCAGCTGGTGGCAAATCTATTTGATATTCGTGTTTTTCATTTTTATAATAATAATATAATAATAATAATAATTGCTAAAGATATTAATTGCTTCTATATTATTTTCAAAGTGCTATCCGTATTTTGACTAACTTTCACAATTATTTTGTTTTTTAATTTACACTTCACTCTATTAGAACGGAAATCAGAAAAGAAATAATTAATTTTCTAATTTCTTCGCAGATTTTCTTTTTTTGTAAGTTGCATTTTTTTTGCGCTTTTAAATCACACATTAAAACGAAGTTAAAAACAAATTTCGGAAAATGACAACTTTTTGTAGGCAAAAAAATTGTTTTTTAACTTTTTTTTTTAATAATATTGAGCACTAAATGTAGTGAAAAGCAGAATGACAAAAAAGAAAGGCGAGAACATAGAAAAAAGAAGGTGAAATGTTTAAATGTGTGCCTAAGGTTTTTCTTTTAATTAAATCTGATTTGAGAGATGAAGAACGAATCGATATTTTTGGAGAAAATCACATTTGAACTTGTGCTAAAATAAATTTTTATTTATTCGTTGATAATTTTACTATTCGAAAAAAATTAACATAATTCTAAACAATGAAGTTGAATCTTTTAAATTAATTTCGACAAATAGAAATTTATCGAATAATGAGAATAATTTTTGGAATTATTTTTTTTAATGAAAAAAAAAATAATAATTTTTTGCATTTTGTCCAAAAATGATTTTTTCAAAAATAATATTTGCATTGTACGGCAAAATATAATTTTGATAGAAATGATTACGATGAATTGTGTTAAGTAATTATTAATAATATTATTATTTTATTATTTAATTATAATTTTTATTTTCTTAAATGAGTAGCGGACACTTTAAAGATCAGGGTAAAGTGTAACGAACGTATGGTACCTCGACATCATTGCCACAATCGTCATTGCAGCAAAGTTCAAATACCAATGCGTGTACGTGGGGCTCGAGTTTTTTCTTCGAGACACGTTTCACAACCTCTGACATTGGCAAGCACATGCGCTCAACGCATTTTGCTTTAGGCATGAAAAATGAATACAACATACAAACACCCTGCGAGAGCATTGTCACCTCTAGATTATGATTATTTTTGAAATAATCGAGAAATTCTTTGAGACTTAATTCGCCAGTCACTTCAAATCTATCCCAAAGTGTCCACTCTGTCTCGTAATATTTCAATTTTGGCGCATTTATTGGCTCTGAAAAGCCAAAGAATGGTAATGCGAGATTAACGAAACCATTTTTATATATTGATATATCCTTAACGCCACGGGTTAATTTAATCAACTCCAAACAAACTAAACCAGCAACAACCGATGTTGTTGTCGCAATTGCTGGTATTATTTTACCGGCAATTAATTTACTCTTGTGACGATCAGCCGGTGTTATTTTATAATTAGTCGCTCGTAAATTTGATGCGGCAACAATGAAATCAATATGGAAATTTGTGTCGTCATCCTTTTCAAATTCCTGGGGAATAATTACCAAGCCACTTAATTCATTTGCTTTTGGCAATTCGTCTTGTAATTGTGTCAATCGTTCGTGATCTATATTTCCACTTCCATTTGAGACCTGCACCTTAAAAAAAGGAAAATGCTTTATTTCCAAATAAAAACAATTTATTTTAAAAACTATTTAAAAACAACAATTTAAACAATTAAAACAGTAAATTATTCAATAAATTAGTGTAAATATTTCTCTGAAAACTTCAAAGATTATTATTATCTTTCAAGTTTTCAGAGAAAAATTTACGAAATCGGGATTGCCACAAAAATTTGATTTTATTTCTCCCTGATTTTCAAACAGAACTTTGACTTTCTCCCTGATGCTAAAGAATATTTTAGTTCACTCTAAAAATAATTAAATAGACAAATATTTTTTTGTTAATAAATATTTAATAATTATTCATTTTCCACGGGAATTAAAATTGAAATAAATTTTTAATTACAAATCCTTTTAAAATTGAATAATTTATAAAAATTGCTACTGTAACTTATCCAAAAATATTTCCAAGATTTCAATTCAATTATTTTCTAGGATTTTTAATTAAAATTCTTCTCTAATTAAATTATTTTTAATAATTCTTCTTTATTAATTTAAATTTAGAGAATATAAATTTGATGATAATATTATTGCACAACAAATTTAGAAATTTATTGTAATTGGTTCAACTTTTTACAAACACAAATGTAGAGAATAAGTTTTGTGATAACATTACAATTGCAAAAAAAAAAAATAAGAAATTATTAATTTTTCACAATTTTGCGTTAAGCTGTGAAATTTTTTCCATTTTAAAAGATAAAATTTTTGATATTAATTTTTATATTACTGTTTGTAATTTTTGTAATTTTTTATAATTTTTAATCTGAAATAATGTAACTTCTACATAGAATTTTATTAAAATTTTTAAAAATAATTTTATTCAACTTTTTTTTTTTATTGTATTTTATGGACATTTTATGAAAATAATTAAATTCTTTTGAGGCATTCAATTAAAATTGTATTGAAATTAAATTAATTTTTTCAATTTTTCTAAAGAATTTTATCAAAATTTAAATTTAAGAAAATAATTGAATTTATTAGAGCGATTTTATTCAATTTTTTAAAAATGAATAAATTTTATGAAAAAATTTAATTAAAATTATTGAAAATAATTTATTTGTTTTGAAATATTTTATAAAAAATATTTTATGAAAATAATTAAATTCTTTTGAGGAATTCAATTAAAATTGTATTGAAATTAAATGAATTTTTTCAGTTTTTTAAAAATAAATTAATTTTATGAAGAAATTTTATTAAAAATTTTGAAAATAATTTATTTGTTTTGAAATATTTTACGGAAATTTTGTAAAAATAATTAAATTCTTTTGAGGAATTCAATTAAAATTGTAATGAAAATAATTGAATTCTTATTTAAAGAATTTTATAAACAAATTTTTAAAGGAACTGAGTTCATTTAAGAAGTTTTATTAAAAGATAATTGAAAAAAATTGAATTCTTGCGAAGAATTTTATTACCTACATCTATGAAAATAATTGAATTCTTGCACATTTTTTAAACGAATCTAATTAAAATTCTATTGAAAATAATTCAATTCTTATACAGAATTTTATTAAAATTGATTAAAAAAAATTTAATTCTTTCCAGAAATTTTATTAAAATTGTATTGAAAATAATTGAACTTTTTTGAACAATTTTAATAAAGATGAATTTTTTTTTAAATTTTCATTCTGAAATTATTAAAAAATTGAATGTTTTATAATAATTACAGATGACCGAGTGATAAAATTATTATCAATTCAATTATTATTTTCAAGAATTTTTAACTAAAATTCTTCTTTAAATCGATTACTTTAAATAATTTTCTAAAAAGTTCTTTGACAATTTTCAAATCCATTTGTTTACAATATTCAATTTTACGAAATTTCAATTATTCGTAAATGCTTCAATTCTTTTATTCTTCAAATTAAATCTTAAAATAATATAAAAGAAATTCAATTAAACTGTTGCAACAAAAATTAATTTCAAAATTCAACTATTTCTAAAAATTCACGCTATATTGCTTTAAATATTCAATTATTATCTTAAATTTTAACTGAAAATTGATTTTCAAATCAATTTTTATTAGAAAATTCTACTAGAATTCAATTATTTAAAGATAAAAATAAATAATTTATTGAATAATTGAATGTTTCTTAAAAATAAATTCAATTCCCATATAAAAAATTTTATCAACGAATTTTTAAATAATTGAATTCTGTCGACGAATTTTAATAAAATTTTTAAGAATAATTACATTTTTCGAGAAATTCAATTTAAATTGTATTAAAAATAATTTAAATTCTGCGATGAGTTATTTTTTGAATTTTTAAAGAAAATTTCCCGCAAAATAATTTAAAAATAATTTTTTAATAGTTATTCAAAAATTAAATTATTTAAAATAAATTCAATTTAAAATCTGTAAGGTTCAATTATTGTTAGAAATATAAAAAATTTAAAATTAAATTAAATCTTTTCAATATTTTTAAAGACTAGAAAATTACTGGAAGAAATCCATGAGTTTTCCAGTCCATTAAAGACTGATGGACAACAAAATTTAAAATTTTCTTATAAATTCTAGAAATTTGATATATTTCCAATTTTACTTTTCCTGATTTTCCCCTGAAATTCCCTGGATCTGTGGCAACCCCGATAAATTAAATGAAAAAGAAATTAGTAAAATTCAACAAAAATAACGAAATCTTTTACCTGAGAATCAGTTTCAGCAATTTTAACACCAGATTTCGGTGTGAATTCAGGAACATGAACATTGCCCGCCATTTGAATAATTTCCTCACGATTCCGATTAGCCGGTAGGCCATAGACAGCTGCCTTTAAATTAGCTCCAGCGATAATATAATCTAAATGCAATGGATTATTAACGTCGAATATAAGCGGTTCAGGACAACGTTTTGGTCCCGACCAAAATGGTTGTCCACTCGATGTCACTTGATCGGGTGGAAAATTAAAAAGTAGTTGTCTAATTTGATTATTATATTGCTCCTGCCAATGGCAACGTGCCCAAGCAACGCAATCCTGGAAATTCTTAGGCCTCTCATCAATCAATGCAACCTTCACAGATTCAAGTACCTCCAATGGTTGTACACCCGGTAATTTAAGAGTTCTCTCAATGAATTGCAAATCAGAAACATATTGCGATGCATTCTCAGCCGCCTGACGGAAAAGACCCTCAAAATTATCCCTCGCCCATTGTAAAGTATGTTCAATTGCATTGGGGAAATTTTTCAAAGTACAAATTGGAATACTCTTCTCCGGTGGATCTTGCGATGAACTATAAGATTCAGTGAGAAATGGAACGACAACTTGTGTATTTCCCTTTGTTCCCAAAGTGCCCGATTCGAGTAATGGCTTTCGATAATAAACACAACGACGATCCATGTAAATTCTCGCGTCAACATTGTCAAGTGCATTGGCAACGCCATCGAGTGCAGCGAAAAATTCATCGTTATAAATTTTCTCCGTTTCGATACAAACCCGATTTTCATGGGCAACAATATTTACGTCTGGATTCATTGTCTTGATGACACGAGCCGCTGTTGATGACTTTGACTTTTGGACGTCTTGCGGTCTGAATAGAAATTGACGATTTAGGTTTGATTTTTCGATGAAGTCCATATCGGTGACGGTGATGCAACCGCCGTCAGTTGCCAGGCCCATCATTGCGAAATTCTTCAGGAGTTCGCAACCAATAGCACCGGCGCCGACGACAAAATATTTCAAGTTTGCAATTTTCTCCTGGAATTTGCGTCCGAATATTGCAGTCTGCGAATCGTAACGACTACCAATTGGTGCACAATCCTCCTCTGTCAGTTCACTTCTATCCTCGGGGAGACATTCCAAAGCGTCAAAGTACAACCACTGATAGATTGGATGAAATTTACCGGAACAAGCCTTCATCACTTCCTGCGCTACAATACCGCCAATTGTCGCATTTATCGGATTTAAATTACCAGCGCTTATTTTTGCGAATGTTGTCAAAAATTCCTTATTCAATTCCACGTCGGATTCAAATTCATCCTTCACCACTTGGACAAAATTAACAAACTCTTGAGCATCATCCTCGTTCCATGGCCTTGGCGCTTGTCCCTTACTCTCTACAAAACGATGCATTGCCTGAAAGGCAAGATGCGCCTGCTCTGGATGATCGAATTTCGCAAAATCAGTGATAATAAATTCCGGTTTCTTCAATGCCTCATTCAATGGCAAGAAATTCAATGTTTTTGGCATTTTCACTTGCGTTACAATTCCACCTTGATGATATTCAGTGAATTTTGTTGTATCGCCAATGCTAAATGTATAGGGACCGAGTACTTTAATTTTCTTCGGTTCACAACCATTTAATTCAATCATTCCTTGAATTTCCGAGAATGTCACATAATCACCGTCCTCCATTCCATGACGAGTGTCATCTAAACATGTGACAACAGCTTCGTTATCACGTGAAATACTTGCAATCATTGCGCTCACTGGTTGTTCACCATTTGTATCAACCACTGTGAATTTATCGCCAAAATCACAAAACACTTGAGAATATAGTCCACGACTTTCACCAATAATAAGTGCAATTCCATTGGCGTGTGTTATTTCGGCAATGCGCAATTGTTCCTTTATTGTTGTTTCAGTGAGAACAATTACCTTGAATTTCTTAAGAAAATTCTCTGACAATGTTCCATCGTGATGTCGTGTTGGTACATAATTATTTAATTCAGCGAGACGTCCACAGCAAGCTTCGGCGCGATTTTTACCTAAAAAAAAGAAAATTCCATTAATTTAATTGAAAAAATTATGAAGCTGAAACTGATCGACTTTAAGGTGCAAAAAAAATCGATTTAAAATAGAAAAAAAGTCGAAAAAGTTGTTTATTTAATTCAGTGTCATCACAAAAATTTTATTTTTTATTCTTCTGATCTTTCACTGATTTTTAAAATTAATTATTTAAAAACTTGAATAATTTTGTTAAATAAATATTTAAATACTTCTTGTTTGTTTTTATACGGGAATAAAATTTAAAAAATTTCTATTTAATAACCTTCTGGAATTTAATAACTTCTAAAAATTACAACTTTAATTCTCTTAAAATTCAATTATTTTCTACAATTTTTAATCAAACTTCTTCTCAAAATCAATTATTTTTAATAATTTCCCGAAATTCTATAGGCCGCAATATAAACAGATTTATTATTTAAATACAAAAATCCAGTTCATTATAATGATTCTAACTGTCCCATGTTTTTTTAAAATATTAATTAATTTTCAAAAAATTATAATAAAGAAATGCTTCAAATTAATTTTTCAAAAATATTTTTAAAATAATTTATGAGAGATAATAATTTTTCAATTATATAAAATTGAAAAATTTCCAAACAATTGAAATTTGGTAAATTCTATTAAAAAAATAATTGAATTTTTAAAGAATCTTAATTATTAATATAAACGCGATTTCTCCAAAAATTTTAATAAATCTAAAAAAGTCATATATTGTTAAAATGTTAAAAATAATTGTAAAAAATTTTAATGATATTATTTTTTGTATGTATTTGAATTTTTGGAAATTTTTATTTAAAAATATTGAAAATAATTGAATTTAAAAAAATTAGAATGCAAAAATTCTAAGAATTATTTTTATCAAAAATATTTTAATATAATTTTTTTGTAGCTAATTTTTATTAATTACCATTTTTAAATTTACACTTGAAGATTTTTCATTAAAATTTGTGAGAAATCAATTATTTTCAAAATTAGCAATTAAAATTCTTTTAAAGTTTATTTTCAAAAATTTTTATCAAACACTTTGAAAAAAATCAATTATTTTCAATTAAATTTTACAAAATTTCAATTATTGAAACTCTTTTTTATTGTAAATTTTGAAAATTTATTTAGTAATTTATAAAAATAGTTGAATTTGTTTCGAAGAAATTACATATTAAAAATTTTAGGAAATAATTGAATTTTATGGAAATATTTGAAAATATTTGAATTCTTCTGAGAAATTCAATTAAATATGTTTTGAAAATAATTGAATTCCTGCAAAGAATTTTACTATTTATAAAAAAAATAATTGAATTCTTGCGAAGAATTTTACCATTTATAAAAATAATTGAATTTTATTGTTTCGAAGGATTTATTAAGATTTTAGAAAATAATTGAATTTATTCGAAATAAATATTAAAAATTGTTTTAAAAATTAAATTCTTCTGAGGAATTTAATTTCAATTATTTTCAAAATTTGCAATTAAAATTCTTCAAATGTTGATTTTCAAAAATTTTTAAAAAAACACTTTAAAAAAATCAAATTTGAATGTTTTTCTTCCAATACTATAAAAATATAATTTTTTTCTTATTATTTATAATTTCTATTTGAATATTAAATAATATGTATCCAAAAATTAAAATTTTCATCTAAATTAAGTTTTTCCTAAACTAAAAAGTTAATATAATTTTGTTTGTTTAAAAATTCGCTGTTAAAAAAAATTTAATTTACTGCATTTTTACAGAAATAAAAAATTCTATTTAAAAAGCCATTAAATTTGAAATTTGTAAAATAAAATTTACATAAACTGGAAAAAAATGAACAATTATTATTATATTTCCCATAAAGTGAATTTAATTTGACGGTATTTTAACAGAAATAAAAAAATTCATTGAATCTGAATGTTTTTTCCTCAATACTATAAAAATCGTGATTTCTTTTATTTTATTTATAATTTTCATTTAAATATCAAATAATTTTTTACAGAAAAAAAATTTCTGTAAAATTAAATTTTCCCTAAACTAAAGAGTTAATAACATTTTGTGTTTTTTTTTAAACTTGTGTTTAATAAAAAATTGTTTAAACATAAATTGGAATAAAAGATTAGAATATTTAAAAATTCGAGGGAAAATATCTTAATTTCCCATATAAAATAAATTTTATTTTATAGAATTTTTTGTACAAATTTAATATCAATAAAAATATTATATTTCTCATAAACTGAATTTAATTTCACGGTATTTTTACAGAAATTAAAAAATTATTTATAAAAATCCATTAAATTTTAATGTTTTTTCCGCCAAATCTATAAAAATGGTGATTTTTCTTTTATTTTATTTATAATGATAATTTTCATTTAAATAGAAAATAATTTTTTAAAGAAAAAAAATTTTCTTAAAAATTAAATTCTCCCTAACCTAAAGAGTTAATATAATTTTGTGTTTTGATCGACAAATTCGCGATTAAAAGAAAATTTAAACAAAAACTGGAAAAAAAGATTTAAATAATTAATAATACGAGAAAAATATTTTGACACTTAAAATAATTAATATTTTCCATTGTTAATTTAAGATGATTATAAAAATTGTGATAATTTATTAGCAGATAGGAAATTACGTGCACCTTATAAATTTATTGTATAAGCAGCCTTGACGAATGAATCATTCAGCACTTTCTTATCATATTCTGAATTGGAAAACATTTTTTTTTGTTCTTTTTTAAAATAAGAAAAACCTAATTAATTCGAAGTAATTTTTTCCCTCAAAATGCATTCAAATTTCCCTCATACAAAATACTTGAAACTTATTTTATACATTTCAATTTTTATTTACTGGAAAAGATTATTTTTACTTTTTTATAAACATGTTTTATTTTTAATTAATTTATTCAAGTATTTTAAATAATCTTCAATAGTAAGAAATCAAAATTTTGAATATAAATATTCTATTTTTTCGAACCTATTATTCATTAAAATATTTTCGTTTACATGATTTCTGAAAAAATATTCAATTATTTTTGGAACAAGAATTTTGGTATATAAAATAGATTTTTCTTTGTCGATATAATAGAATTAAATAAGTCCTTGAAACTACGGTAATAGAAAGAAAAAAGCAAGACAAAAACAATGAAGATAAAAATTCTCTTTGTTATTGGTAAAAAAATTTTATGGGTCAACCATTTCCAAACATTACTTTAGCAAATGAAAAATCTATAATTTACTTTCAGTAAATAAAATTTTAACGAGAGAATTGAGAAAATCAAAAATTGATTTTTTCGCAACTATGTAATTTTGTCAAAAAAAACCTATTGACTAAAACGGCTAACAAAATAAAAAAAAATTCGCGATACAAAAGAAAAAGAATTTAAAAAGTTATCAAATATTATCGATTCCTTTGTCTGAAATACGATTTACATTGAAAATTATAAAACGGAGGAAATAAAGGTTAGGTGTGCAAAAGATATTTCGTAAATTCTTCAAATTATTGTATTTTATTAAAATAAACAAAATTCACCCGCAAGAAAGGTCGAGGCGAAAATTTAACAAATTTCCGTATAAGATGAAAATTTAATCAACAAAATGGAGAAATTGCGAAAGTCATTGATGGGGAAAATTGGAAAATGTAGAACAAATAGAAGACATTCAGGGGCCTGACGTATGAGAAGAAAATAAAAGAAAAAAAGAAAAATAATAATAAAGAATAAATTTCTCACCAATATCCTCCTCGGTCAAGTAAAATTGTGACCCAAGGTCAGCAATTTGACAGACAGCATTGTCATGAAGTGTGACGGATTTAACACCTCCGAGGATGACGTTCTTGGCAATTTCAACACCAAGACCACCAAGGCCCGAGATAAGGACATCGGACGATGCCATACGACGCATGGCGTCATGTCCCAGGACATAGAGCTGCCTTGAATATAATCCCTCGTCAATATCGGCTTGTTGCCGAGAAGTTGAACCATTTTTCGCCATGTCTACAATTGACGCGATGTCACCGGCTCCTTCTGCCGTGGTGGCAGCAACGCGTCGTTTCTTGGCTGGGGGATCAACGGAGCTCTCCACCACCTCAGCACTAGACATCGGACTTTACGAGAGCCGTATTAATTATCTATCTCGATTGTTTTCACCCGGCTGCTATTTACTGCACTGATAAACCCGTCCCACCGCTCCACTATCGCGCACAACTTTTATATCCCTTTCGTCCTTTAACCTTCCTGACGATCTACCTTCGTCGTCTACTGCTACTCAAAATCACACCCCAGGCACTGCACGTTGATACAATAGCAATCGGCCATGCAAGAGTGATTTTTCCCAAATCGGATCTTTGTTTAGGCCCCAAGTACTACATTGAAAATCATAAGGGAGTGATCACAGCTCATCTCTGCATGTAGATTGCAAGTTGTCATGGCAACGTACAAGTGTAAGAGAGTCAATGAATTCATATTTGAATTTTCCGCCTCTCTTGCTGGTGTGCGCTTACCTTAATATGCAGAACTGTGAGTTGTGACCGAACCCTAACACAAGAAAACTAAAAATAACTCGACAATAGACACTTTTTACGTTCTTATGTCAAACATAACATGGAAATAAAATAGAAATTTACGATTCTATCTTTTTGTTTAACATTATTACGTTCAATAATGAAGGAAATAAAAAAAACACTATGGACTTAGCTTTAACCAGTGCACTGTGAACATAGCCACAAGCAGAATTGTCCATGCGCGTAACTTCCGTAACACTTACGTAGCGAACAATAATTTACTTTTGAGTTTAAAACGTTTAAAACTATCGAAGATAATGTAACAAAATATATTTTCTACACTAAATAATAAATAAACAATAGTTTAATTTTTCCACTTTGCAGAATATGCTTTTACGATAAAGGTAAAATTGTACGATTAAAAGTAAAGTAATTTATTCAAATAATTACTTTTGAATTCAAATTCCTCTATTTCGGTGTTAGCCAATCAGAGTCGACTTCCGTTTCTATATTTGCCCGCGACGTTGCCTTGCTCGTTAACGTTTCTTCCAGTTTCACAAGTAAAGTGGCAGTTTCATTTCTTCAAGTTTCTCCCGTTAATAAAAGGTTCGTTTTCATATTTTTTAGAAATATTTTCATTTAAACAGTTTCCCGAATCGATGGACTTGTGAATTTATCAAACTTTTCCGTGAAAAGTGATTGTAAATCGAGTGAAATACTGAATGTGACAATTGGCGAGAAGCGGCCGGCATGACACAAGTGCGCGCGAGGGGGGAGTGTAAATTGTCGAAAAATGTGAACAAAATATGATCATTTTTAGAATATTTTTCCTTCAAACAGTTTCTCAAGTCGATGGTCTTATGGATTTACTAAATTATTCGTGAAAAGTGATTGCAAATCGAGAAAAATTAGACAATTGTCGAAAAGTTTCCGTGAGTCACATGGGCATTGGGTGGGGGGGGGGGGGGTAACACAAATTGTTGGGAAATTGTGATAAATTTATCATTTTGAGTGAATCTTTTTGCAATATTTCGAATAATATCGGGCTTGCAATAAGACAGTTGCAGGTATTTTCATAGAGTTGTAGTGAACTTTATCAAAATTTGTGTTGAAAATGTAAATTTTCGCCATTGTGACCTTGACACAATTCAGAAGATAGCAATAAATTAGTGGAAAAAATTAACAAATTTTGGGAATAAATAAATTTGAAAGTAATTATTTGAAAAAGTTTCGAGTCAGTGCGCGGTTTAAACACGTATAATTTTTATTAAAACTTAAGTGTAAAAGAAAAGTTTATAATAATTTAAACAGTTAAAATCAGTGCGCGTATGAAAAATATTTGAATCACAATTTTTATTTAAATACAACATTTTTTTGAGAGTAGAATAAAAACATTTTTCTCGTGTGTCTACACTTGGAATAATAATTTTTCGTACAATGAATAGTTTATCGGGAAAATTTTATTAATATTTTTCGAAGTATGTAATAATTTTTTTAGAGTAATTTTGATTGGATGATTAATTTTTTTAGTCTTGAATTTCATTTATTTATGAAAAATAAAATTAATTAAATGATTATTAATAGAATTTCTAATTTTTACAAAACACAGACGTATATTTTGTTAATATTAATAATAATTATAATTAATATTCTCTCGTGAATAATTACTAAACGAAGCGATACAAAAGATTTTGATTTAATTCAAACTCTAGACATCAGAAATTTTAATTTTGATTCAAATATTTTTTATCGGAAAAATGTGGAAGCATCGAGACTGCAGAAAAAGGTACATTTTATAGTAATCTAGTGGTAATTAGTTTAATTTTATTGTTATTACTGTTTCTCTCAGTGACAAGCTTGAATGAAATCTTTCTGAACAAATATTACATTTTTATCAATAGTCAATTACATATTTCCGAATGATTGGCTTTTGATAATTAAATATTCACTTGTCACTGTTTAATTTTCCTGTGTGTGATTTAAATTATTTTTTTAAATTGAAAACAATTTTTTTAAATTGAAAATTATCTTTCTAAATTGAAAGTTGTTTTTGTATTTTTTATACCAATTTTTAATTCATTTTACCCTCTTTAATTAATTACAATCCCGAATTATTGATTCGCTTATAAATAATTATTCAGCAAATATTTTTTGCTGATCGATTCGAATACTCAATTAATTATTAATAGATAATTATTATTATTATTATTAATAATAATTAATATTAATTAATAATAATTATTATAAATAATTAATTATCAATGATAAATTACTTATAAAATTCCAATTTTAAATTAATTTAAATAGAAATATTAAAGAGCTTAGATTTTTGAAAAATTTTAATAATTCAAATTTTTCAATACTATATATTTCATTAATTATTAAAAGTAATAGATTTATAGAAGAATTTTAGTTAAAAATACTTAAAAAATTGAATTTTGGAGAAGTTACAAATATTTGTAGAAATTCAATTATTTTCAAAAATTTTAATAAAATTCTTGGCAAAATTTCAATTATTTTCAAAAACTTTCTTCAATTCGATGATGTCCAACTACTATTTTAATAAAAAATTTTAAAAGAATTCAATTGTTTAATAACATTCTAGACAAGTATTTAATTATTTTCATAAATAATAAAAATTTCACAGAAATTCAATTATTTACACATTTTTTTATACTTCGCAATAATTCAATTATTTTCATGAATAATAAAATTCTTTTTAGGGATTTTATTAATAAGAAAACTCATAGCAGAATTTCAATTATTTTTAATACAACTTATTTTAATCGAATTCCTCGAAAAATAATTACATTTTTTAGGAATTCGATTAAAATTGTAGATATTAAAAATAATTGAAATTCTGCTATAAGTTCGATAATTAATGAAAATAATTGAATTCCTAAAAAGAAATTAATTATTTATGAAAATAATTGAATTAAAAAAAGAATTTTTTTGTTTATGAAAATAATTCTGAAATATTTATCAAAATAATTTTTAAAAATTTTATTAAAATTCATCGAAAGAATTCAATTATTAAAAACTTTGTTGATAAAATTCTTTATGATAATTCAATTTTAAAAAGTAATCATAATTATTCAATACATTATTTATTTTTATATTTAAATAATTGAATTCTCGTAGAATTTTCTTATAAAAATTGATTTAAAAATAAATTTTAGTTAAAATTTTAGATAATTGAATATTAAAAGCATTATGGTAGGAATTTTTAGAAATAATTTAATTTTGAAAAGGTTTCAAATTAAAATTCTTGAAAATCAGAATTTTTCATACTTTTAACTAACAATTGTGCAGAATTAATTTTTATGAAACATTTTAATTGAATTTTTATAAAATTATTTGAATTTTTTATTTTCTAATATAAATTTAATTGAAGAATTTCCGAATAATCGAAATTTCGTAAAATTGAATTATAAACAAATGGATTTGAAAAATCACAGAAAACTTTTTCAAAAATTATTAAAATAATTGATTTAATGAAGAATTTTAGTTAAAAATTCTAGAAAATAATAATTTAATTGAAATGATGAAAATAATTTTGATAAAATTACGGTAAATAATAGTGATTAATTATTTCTATTTTAAATTAAACTATTGATGTTTGGAAATCAGGGAAAAAGAAAATTAAATTTTTTGTGGCAATCGTGTTCATGGAAAAATATTAAACAAAGTTAGGTATAGGAATAAAAAAAAGAAAATAATAGAAATTCTCTTTATTATTAATAATTCTATTAGGATTTAAATTTTACATTAAAATTATAATTTTTCATCTTTTTTACATAAATTAATACGCTGTTTGACATATCACTCTATTATTTCAATATTGTTCTTTCTTCACTAATAATTATTACCCTAACCATATTTATTTTTGCGCTCTATAGCAACTTTACTTATTCAACTATTATTATAATTTATGTATCTAAAATAAATTAAATGAATGAATTTCTCATTTTTCTCTTGATAAAATTGAAATAATTGTTTTAAAGGAATTACAAAATATACAATATAAGATATGAATAAAAAGGTGAAAATTAAATTTTCTCTAGTAAATAGGAATCAGATTTTCTTCTTTTCTTTCTTTTCAATCCAAATCGCTTATTTCTGCCGGATCGCCTCCCATGGCTTTCCAAAATGCCGTCACTAATTGTTCGGCAGCAAGTTTTCTTTGATTTGTTGGTAAAGTTGCGGCGTGTTCTTTCATTGCCATCAATTGTCCATAAAGTTCTCCGAAATCAACATTTTCACTGTCCATTATTCCATCTGTTGACAAATTTTTTAGTTTTTACTTTAAAAATTATTTGCACTATTAAAATATTTAATGTTTAATTAATTAATGCAGTCGACGATTATTTTATTATTCTGACGACTGAGAGATAATATTATTTTTATGACATAATAAATATTAATATTATAATATAAATAATAATATTATAATAATTTTATAATTTTATAATTTTATTATAATAATATTATAATATAAATATTAATATTAAATATTAATAAATATTATAAATAATGTTAATTAATTAACTAAAATTTAATCTTGCTTTCATTTTACAAATAATTTTGCCAAAAAAATATTATTTACTGACCAAAAACACTCTCCATGCGTAGTCTGTCTGATATATCCGGTTGAGCATCTAATTGAATATTTTCTATTTGTTCACCAACTCGATTTACTTCTTCTCTTGATTTAGTTTCAGAAGTTTGATCTAAAAACATATTCAGAGAACAGAATTAAATAAAAATTTCTAATTCTTTGATTTTAAAGGTAAAATTTACATGTCAATACTTTTTAATATCATATTCGTCCATGTGTGTGCTTGCAAAGCCTCAATGATTCTTTCAATTCCATAAGCATTTCTTCCTGATTCAGAATCATCCGTTTCTTTCATATCTCCCTGTTCCAGTTCAACTAATTCGAATTTCTGTTGCATACACCATTCTGTCACTAAAAATTCGCAGAGTGAATATCATTCTTAGATAATGAATTCCCGATAGATAATTAATTACAATTATTTCCTAACAAAATCAGGGTGGCCACATTTCAGTAAAATCAGGAAAATGTCAGGAAAACAAAATTGTCAGTAAAGTCAGAGAAATAATAGGAAAAAAAATTTTTTTTCCTATTATTTCTCTGACTTTACTGACAATTTTGTCATACTGACATTTCCCTGAGAGAAGAAAGAAAATTGAGAATTTTTTCGAATTCTTTCCAAAAATTGCGAAATTTTCTATTTTCCCTCCAAATATTGCAACAAAATACCAAAAACTTTATTAAAAAAGTGAAACTTATTTCGATTTTTATAGTGCGAAAAATAAGTATAAACAAATGTTTCAAAATTTATTTTTAAATCATTTTTTAAGATAATTAAATTTTTCAAATATATCTACAATAAAAATCTTTTTGAATAATTGAAATTTTTCAAAATTTAATTAAAAATAATTGTTTTTTTTAAGTATTATTATTACATTTATTTTTGAAAACCAACTTTTGAAGAATTTTAATTGCAAATTTTGAAAGTAAATGAATTATCAAAAATTTTATTGAAAAATCTTTAAATAAATTTTAAAATTAATGAAAATTAGATTCTATTTGTTTAAAATTCAATATTTTCACTTTTTTCAATAACATATTTCCGAAAATTCAAATACAATTACAAATATAATAACTTTTTAGAATTATATTTAACATTTTGGAAAAAAATCATAATCAAAATTTTTAATTAAAATTCATTTAAAAATTCGTTAGTCTTTATAAATTATACAAAAATCCTTTTAAGAAATTCAATTATTTTCGAAAAAATACATTAAAATATTTTTAAAAATAATTCTTAGATTTATTTTATCATAATTTTTTTTAGATTCAATTATCTTGGAACAAAGTAAATAAAAATTTTATAAAAATTTACTTTCTTAGATTTGTTAAAATTTCGGAGAAATCATGTTTTTATTTATGATTAAAATTCTTTAAAAACTTGATTATTCTTTTTCAAAAATTCACACGGAGAGAGAATATATATTAAATATTGTAAAAATATTTTCAAATTGGGGAAAAAGTGCGACAAAGCGAAATTTTGATATCAAAAAATACTAAACTTTAAAAAAACTTATGTGAAATTTAGTATAATTATATCAAATATCAAGAATATTAATTAAATTCTAATATAACTTTACTAAATTTCATATAAGTTTTTTTAAAGTTTAGTATTTTTTGATATCAAAATTTCGCTTTGTCGCACTTTTTCCCCAATTTGAAAATATTTTTACAAAATTTAATATATATTCTCTCTCCGTGCAATTGTTTTTAAAAGATTTTTGCAAATATAAATTATTGTTTTGAAATTTTTCAATTCTATATAATTAGAAAATTATTGTCTTTCAAAAATTATTTAAAAATATTTTTAAAAAATTAATTGTAATAATTTCTTTATTATAATTTTTTGAAAATATTATACCTTAATAACTTTAAAAAAAAAACATGGACAATTGCAATTATTATAAAAAATTGAGTTTTTATATTTAAATAATTGAATTCTATAAGAACTTTCTAAAAATTATTGAAAATAAACATTAATGGCAAATTATGACAACTATAAAAAACTAAAGTCTTACATTTTTCTTTAAGAGACGAATCTTTTATGGAATTACAAACAAATAATAGAATTTCCACTTCCGCTAGCGATGGCATAAGCGATTTCCAATTTTCTAAATAGCATAAAGTTTGTTCCTGGAAATAAATGAATCTTTAATTATTGTCCGTTTGAAATCTGCAAATAATTAGATACTATTTTTTTCTTCTCACTTCATTTGGTTCATGATAGACAATTAGTGCTTCAACTCCATCGAATAAAATATTTGTCAAAGAATTTTGTGTCGATGAAATTAATACTTGTGCTGTATAATATTTATTGTCAATATTCCATAAATAATATTCCATTCCATCCTCTTTTGATAATGGTTCAGCCCCTATCACTTTATGTTTGGAAAAGAAAAGTAAATCTTAATTTCTGATTTTAAAAATTATGTTTACAGATTTATTATTATTTTTATATATTTATTCATTATTTACGAATTTTTCTAACAAAATAAAGATGTTTTATGTAACGTTTTAAATTAGAAATACTTTAGGTTAGGTTACTTACATTTAGCAAGATCGATAGTTTTATTCTTGACATCGTTGATTATTAATGCCCGTGGCAAATTTTTTTCAATTACTGATTGATACATTTAAATAAAAGGTATTTTGACAATTACCCCCAAAAAAATAGTACTCCAAAAGTGGATTTTTTAAAAAACTAAAATATGTTTCGTTGAGAGATGAAATTTTTTCTTTTTTTAATTATAAAAAAGATAACAATGATTAAAAATTGACACGGTGTTAATGGTAGTTTTTTATTTTCACTTATTTATTACCAATAGCGATTAATTATTTGAAATTTGATTGATTTGATCTCAAAACAAAACTACTCGTCCTAACCTAACCTTTTATTATGTTACTTGACCGATAAATGCCGATAAAGTAGAATATTTGACAAGTGCTGACGTCTTTCATTTATACTCTGAAGCAATGGGAAAAAACATTTGTTAGGGGCCACATTTTTAAAATTATCATTTACTTTTATATTTATTATAATTTTTCAGGCATTTTCAGAGTTACTCAAGACCATTTTCATTTATCAAGAAACAAATTTTTATTATTTCGTAGATATATTATAAACAGTTTCTAATTACTATGCCTTTTCGGAAAAAAGTTTCTCTTTCCAAAAAAAGTGCTCTTTTCTTCAAAAAAAGTGCCATTTTTTTAGTAAAATAAACGTTATGTAGTAAGTAATTCTCAAGACCATTTTCTTTTATCAAGAAAAAATTTTTTAATATTCCGAAGATATATTATAAACAGTACTGTACCTTTTCGTAAAAAACCCCTTCTTGCCAAAAAAGTGCCATTTTTTTTTATTAAAATAGACAATAGACATTTGCAAGTAAATATGCCTCAAGTCCATTTTATTTTTGAAGAAAAAAATATTATTTATATTCACGAGATATATTTTAAACAGTTTTTGACTACTGCACCTTTTCAGGAAAAGGCCCTTTTTTCAAAAAAAAAAAACTCTTATCTTCAAAAAGGGCCATTTTTATTGAAATAGATATTTCTATTAATATATTTAATATAATTTTAATTTATAATGAATATATTTTATAAACAGTTTCTGAGTACTGTATCTTTTCGGAAAAAAACTCTTCTTTCAATAATAAGTGCCATTTTTTATTAAAATAAACATTTGCAAGTAAATAATTCTCAAAACCATTTTCTTTTTTCAAGAAAACATTATCTCAGAGAGAAATTTTCATAAAGTTTTTGAGTGCTGCACCTTTTTGGAAGAAAGCCCCTCTTTCAAAAATAAAGTGTTATCTCTTTTCCAAAATAAATGCCATTTTTATTCACTTGTGTGAAGTAAAATGTTTACTTCCGAAAGTGTATAAGAGAAGAATTATTTTCTGATTTATTTTGTGGAACATTGTTTTTTTTATATTATTAAACGTTCTTAATTTTATTATATTATTTCTTATTGGAAAATTGTTCTTGTCTATTTTCGTTCATATACGATTGTTGTAAAATTTAAGTACCTACTTTTTTCTATATTTACCTATTTATTGTTGTGAAATTTTCGATATTCTTATCTCTTCATAAAAAATTCTTTATTCCGATAGTATTTAAATTTTAAAAAGCATAAAGATTTCTATTGATTTTGATGCTGTAGAATATTTAGAATCTTGTTTTTTTATAGAAAGTATATGTGTAAGTAAGAAATTCAGCTTATATTGAAATTTTTCGTTCCTGTAAATATTTCAAGTCTTTTATCATTTTTAAATATAATACTTTTCTTCGCTGGTGAATTTTTAAGTTCGTTTAGTTCTTTCAGATAACAAAGCATTTTTTAATTTCCTAGATGGAAAATATGTATGAGAAAAAAATGTATTGAATGGATTTTATAAAAGTTCAGTAATATTGATATTCCTTTTCTCCTGTAGAATTTGTGATCGATTTGTAATATTCGGGGTCGTACTTTTTTTTCTTATTTATTCTTCTTTTTTTTTGCTTCTTTTCCGCAACTACACGACATCCGGTTCTTTTGTGACGATTTTTCTATTTTTCTTCTCTTACTTTACACACGCCACTCGCATGACTTTTCTTTCACTCTATATATATTTCATTTTTGCATCTTCCAATATATTGACTTCTATAAAAGACGATAAACTGCTCGGGTATTTTATTTTTTTTCATCAAAATTGAAAAAAATTTCTTCATATCTTTTGAGCATCGCATATAAAAAATATTTCAATAATCTAAATCTCATGTTTGACTTAAAAAAAATATTTCGAATTTTATTTGCGAAAAAACAATCTAGTTTCATGACAAAAATTTTTAACTCTGTCTCGTATATTCAAAAAAAAAGAGTATTCTAATTTTGAAAATTGGATGAAATAAGATATAAAGAAGAAAGTTTCATTTTATGGAAAAGGATTTGTTTTTTTGTTACAAAAAGAATCTTCTTCTTCAAATCTAGTTTATGATTTCTAGAAATTGTCGAGTTGTCTCCTAGGACGAGAATGTCAATTCTCCTAAAAACTGTATGTATATGATACGTTTCGTCTTAAGTTTATTTTTTTCCATCGTCTCTGAAGTATTTTGCCGATCTTTATCGTCAGCTACAAAATTTGTTTGCTCTCAAAGCCACCAGAGATTTATCAAAATTGAAATTTTCATCAAATTTAAACTTTTTCAACTTTAAATTCATTTTATATACAAAAACTTTTAATTAAAACTTTTCATTCTTGCGAATTTAAATTGAATTATTATAAACTACAAAAGTGTTCTTACTTTCCAAACCATTTTACAAGTTTTAATTAATCATGGATTAATTTATTAAAAGCGTTGTATTTGTATTTGAGATGAAAGAAAATTAGAAACTATACCAGTACTTCATTAATTTTTTCTTTCTTCTTATAACTCGTTATTTTCAAGAAAAGTGTCTAAAAACAAAACAGTAATAAAATAACAGGTAAAAATCTGTCAGAAGAAAAATTGTGGACATTTTCTACCATCCTATATTTTTTAAATTTAACTTTTCATTGAAATTCTCATTATAGTCAGAGTAAAATAATTTATTTTTTCAAGGATTTTATAACAACTTTTAAAAAGCAAATTTTGAAGAATTTCAATTGCAAATTTTTAAAATCATATTGCATTCTCAAAAATTTCCTTAAGGAAAAATCTTCAATGATAGAAAAATGAAAATTAATAAAATAATTATTGAAATTAATGAAACCTGGAAATCTGGAAAAACTGGGAAAGTCAGGGAATTTTGATCGAAATCCTGAAAAATTATTGTTTTCTAATTGTGCTTATTCTTGAAATCTAATTTTACTCAAATATTTCAAAATTAATTGAATTTTAAAAAGAGTTGCATTTACAATAATAATAATAATAATAAATTTATTTCATTGTATACTCTTTTAAAGAGTCTTTACAAATTCCATAACAAAACTCTTTTGCTTAATAGCTACATGAACATCACAAACTAACGAGTTGCATTTACAATTTTCATAAATAGATAAACTTCAAAAGTTTTTAACTTGAAATTTTAGAAAATTTCAATTTCAAATGAATTAATTAAATAATAAAGATTTCACAGAAATTCTATTATTTACAAATTTTTTTATAAATTGCTTTGCAATAACTCAATATTTTTCAAAAAAAATAAAATTTTTCTAAGAAATTCAGTTATTTTCACAAATAAAGATAAATCTTCACTAGAATTCAATTATTTTAAAAAAATTTAATAAACTTCTTCTTTAAAATTCATAAATAAAGAAATTCTTGTCAGGAAATCAATTATTTTTAGCAATTTTAATAAATTTCTTTCCAAGCACTCAGTAATAAAATTCTTGTCAGGAATTCAAATTATTTTTAGAAATAATTGAATTTTGAAAAAGGTTTAAATTACAAATTTAAAAGGTTTAAACTTTGAAAGTCTAAATTTTTTCTACTTGATTTTGTTGTTGCCTTTGGTTCATTATATGTTTATTTACTAGAAATTACTTTTGTAAAATAATTTTGGCAAAATTACTAGTCAAAATACTCCATCAGCCAATTAGCAGACAATCGAATTTTCGAGTTTTTTAAAGCTAAGAGCTTTAAAAATTTTTTTGTTAATAAACAATTAATTTTGAAGTTGCCTTTTGTTTATTATATCTTTATTTACTAGAAATTACTTTTGTAAAATAATTTTAACAAAATTACTTGTCAAAATACTCCATCCGCCAATTAGCAGACAATCGAATTTTCGAGTTTTTTAAAGCTAAGAGCTTTAGAAATTCATTTGTTAATAAACAATTAATTTTGTTGTTGCCTTTTGTTTATTATATCTTTATTTACTAGAAATTACTTTTGTAAAATAATTTTAACAAAATTACTTGTCAAAATACTCCATCCGCCAATTAGCAGACAATCGATTTTTCGAGTTTTTCAAAGCTAAGAGCTTTAAAAATTCATTTTATAAGAAACAATCGATTTTGTTGTAGTCTTTTGTGCATTATATGATTATTTACTAGAAATTTCTTTTGCAAAATAATTTTGGCATAATTACTAGTCAAAATACTCCATCCGCCAATTAGCAGACAATCGAATTTTCGAGTTTTTTAAAGCTAAGAGCTTTAAAAATTTCTTTGTTAATAAACAATTTATTTTGTTGTTGCCTTTTGTTTATTATATCTTTATTTACTAGAAATTACTTTTGTAAAATAATTTTAACAAATTTACTTGTCAAAATACTCCATCCGCCAATTAGCAGACAATCGAATTTTCGAGTTTTTTAAAGCTAAGAGCTTTAGAAATTCATTTGTTAATAAACAATTAATTTTGTTGTTGCCTTTTGTTTATTATATCTTTATTTACTAGAAATTACTTTTGTAAAATAATTTTGGCAAAATTACTAGTCAAAATACTCCATCCGCCAATTAGCAGACAATCGAATTTTCGAGTTTTTTAAAGCTAAGAGCTTTAAAAATTTTTTTGTTAATAAACAATTAATTTTGAAGTTGCCTTTTGTTTATTATATCTTTATTTACTAGAAATTACTTTTGTAAAATAATTTTAACAAAATTACTTGTCAAAATACTCCATCCGCCAATTAGCAGACAATCGAATTTTCGAGTTTTTTAAAGCTAAGAGCTTTAGAAATTCATTTGTTAATAAACAATTAATTTTGTTGTTGCCTTTTGTTTATTATATCTTTATTTACTAGAAATTACTTTTGTAAAATAATTTTAACAAAATTACTTGTCAAAATACTCCATCCGCCAATTAGCAGACAATCGATTTTTCGAGTTTTTCAAAGCTAAGAGCTTTAAAAATTCATTTTATAAGAAACAATCGATTTTGTTGTAGTCTTTTGTGCATTATATGATTATTTACTAGAAATTTCTTTTGC